TTTTTTTTTTTTTTTTTTTTTTTTTTTATGTATAATACAGAGCCGCCTGGTGAACCGTAGGCAGAGAGGCAGATGTTCTATCTTTTTCAATTTCCCTTCTACCATCACATGGGCAGCCGCCAATTGTTTTTGTAAGGGACGCCTGATTCCCCGCTTGTAATATAAAAAACTCCTTACCTTAAAAGAAAAAAAAACGGAAAAAAAGCCCTCAAGAAAAACGTGTATGACATGACAGTGTGCTATCCTGGCACCTGGGACCTTCTGCTCACATCTGAAACGGTTAGCTAGTGAACTGTCGAAGGGACTAGTAGAGTCCCATCGTGCCCTTGCTCTTGTCGCGCAGAGAGTCTTTTTTTTTTTTTTTTTTTTTCACGACACTTTCTTACAACGTGGCGATTCATTACACCTCTCCACACCGTATTTTAACTTTACTCATCATACTTCAAGGTCACACGTCGGCCTATGTTAAGGGCATACTCACACTACGATGTTTGTTTTTACGTATTTCCGAATGGAATTGCGGCCAGATACATCCAGGTATGGCCGCGAATGGGATCAGATACATTTGAGACACTGCTAGTGTGAGTACTCCCTTTTTTTTCTTTTTTTTTTTTTAATGGGAACAAGGCTCCAATCTATTCGTGGGGAGAAACACGTGCTGGGAAAGTTGGGACCCCTGCCAACTGTTGAAATTGGGACCCACGTTTTTAATTTAGAAGCAGAGAAGCTTGCCACCTGTTGTCTACCATCAGCCTGAGGGACTACCACCTCCACTTTCATGATTGGACTCCTCCATCCCGTTGCGGCCTTTTTCAGACTTCCCTGATCTCTTCCCGCCATCAGCGAACCCAATGGTAGAGATTCAGTGGTGTCCCGGTGGCTAATAAAAAAGGTCATTTATGGATGCAGGATGAGATCATTTCTTCAAATTGTCCGATTTCTTGCTCAGCTACTACCCTGGTATCTAAAGCATTCATTAGTAGGGGGAGGGACGAACTAGTGTATAGCAGAAGGGATCTGGCGCCGGTTTCAGGGCAAAGAGGTTCCCCCTCTCTCCAATTGCCTGCCCAGTCAATCCCCTGGATCCCAGGGTAATCAATGCTGGTAGGAACCTTACAAAATCTTGTTATGATGCATTCCGAAGTCAGTTTGTATATGGGACGCCGAACCTGCTTTGGGGGCGTTTTCAAAAAAAAAAAAAAAAAAAAAGAAAGTGCTAGTGGTGCTGGTTCCCCCCCGGCCTGTGCGACCCTGGAGCACTGCCTCCGGGCATGCCCTATGGTCGCCCAAATCTGGCAGTTGTGGGATGACGCCTTCCACTCCCTAACAACACACCATATTCCATGGGACCTTGGCCTCCTGCTGCTGGGAAAGAACCTCCAGCACCTGGCCCAATGGTCCCCCTATGCAGTTAACCTGTTTTCATATACAAGGCTCCTTGTTCTGATGCTGGCCTGGCGAGCAAGGTGCTTGTTTGAATGAAAAGACCACCAATTTGGCTTTCAACAGGCCCAGCAGGTGCTGGAGGAGGTCACTAGTAGATCCTACACCCACAATGCCTGGAAAACCATGAAACAAGCCTATAGGGGGGAAACGGAACCACAGACCAGAACTGCCATTATCGACTCCTACAACCAAACATGGCAGGACCCCCGCAGGCCGTTCAGCGTATTGGATGCATAACTGAACGACCTGTGGAAGCCCTGGAGGCTATGTATCATCCGCGGTCGCGACCGCGGCCCTTTTGACCGCATGCAGTCGGGATCCCGCCCGGCGCCCGAGAGAGAGAGAGAGAGATCAAATCAATCAATCAATCAATCAATCAGACCGATCAAGATCCTAGGATCTTGATCGGTCTGATTGATTGACTGATTGATTGATTGTGTGTGTGTGTGTGTGAGAGAGTCTGTGTGTGTGTGTGTGTGT